CCTGCCGTGCTCCCGAGCGTCGGTGGGGACGGGTGAAGCCCCTCGAAGGCGAAGCAGCTCCGGCAGCGCCTGCGGCGGGTCTTGCTGGGTTTTGTCATTGCAGCAGCCTCGGAACGCTTGTCACGGGGTTTGGGTGGTCCCTGCTGGGCTGTGACCCCCCTCAAAACAAAAAGTCAGGGAAGGCCACCATGGGCCCTGGGAAGGCCACCATGGGTCATGGTGGCCACTCGGGGGTCGAGGCTGTGCCTCTCTGTGCTGCTGTTCCCACATCCCACCAACTTTGTGGGTCCCCTTCTAACTCCAGCGCTAAAACTAATTGCAAAGTTTCATTGCAAGTAAAAATCCGGAATCCATGTACCCTGTTGGCAGCATCTAGGAAAAAAAAAAAAACAAATAAAAAGACTCTTTTGGGGGAGGTTACTGCCTTAAGACTTTATACCTCGCTATATGTGACTATTTCATTGTATTTGGTAGCAACTGCTGGGAGCAGAGGCAGGTCTCTGCCCCCATGGGAAGGGTACCTCGATCAGGAAGAACAGGTCCCAAATGCCCTGCAGTTGTTGCACACAGAATATCTAGCGAACACAAAACAGACGCCTGCTTAACTGCCGCTCCTAAAGGTATCCATCAGCTCCGCAAACTGGAGCACAGCTGTAATCACGCAGACTTTGCATGAGGTTTTGCATCCTCCCCAAATGCGTAAGTCTCTCAGGCCAACACCCGGCACGGCGGGCAGAGCCAGGATTGCCGTGGCGCAGGAGCTCGGCACGTACCGAGCGTGTCTCCTGCTTCTCCGCCTGCTCGGGTAAGTCGAGCAAACGCGCACCAATATGGTGCGACAGGACCGTCACGTGTGCTTGGGCCAGGGCTGCCGGAGGGATGTCGTCTCCTGCGCATCTCCTCTGCCTCTGGTCCTCATTTTCAGGTTAATTTCCTTTCTTGTAAAGGAAAATGTTAATTATTTATCAGAGACAAAAAGCTGCATATCAATGGGATGACTTGGGAGGTGTAGGTAAACAATCATTTGCATTGCACATGTTTTGGAAAACCTGAAGTAAAGAATTCCCCTTTCATCTGAGTTGCTCATGCTTAGGAAGAAGAAATCAAGAAACCTGTTCTGATGGTAACAGCATATACTTGACATCTGGTAGTTTGAAGAGCGTACTCCACTGTCACTAAGCCAGGAGACCGGTGCTTAGTGTTCGTTAGGAAGAGTTGAGAGGCTCCTTAGTTATTTCCTTTCCCATGGTTTCATAGCAGTGGCTGCTTATGCTTCTAATTTTAGAGATACTTTGGGGTTTTTGTTCTCTCTAAGACCGGGGAAAAGCTGTGCATCCTCTTGGATGAAACGGGCTGAAGGAAAGGCATCCACACCAAAGCTGGAGAGTGCAAATGAGCACACGTTAACAAGGACCTGCGCAAAGATGGAATTAAATGCACCCTGGGCACATGTAGCTGCTGTGTCCTGAACACATCTCTGTTGCTTGGCAGAGTGTGTGGCGAGTTGTCCTGACTGTGAAACAGAAGAGAACCGGAAGAGGAAACAGTGTCAGTACCGGATTGTCAATTAAAACATCAGCAAACAAGGATTAGAGTACGTGGTTTCCGAATCCCTGTGCATAAAGTGCACGTTGATGATGTTTCCAGTGTGATTCGTCGATAATTGAATGGTTTTTTTCTGCAGGTTCACCGCTGACAGCGATTTTACGTTGGGTATATAGGTGTGTACGTGTAGATATTAACTGAAATACCTCCACACGTACTGACTTCTGAAAAGTTGTCCTACTTGACCAAGTGCTGCATAATTATAGTACTGCAGCCTCCCGTGGAGGGTTGTTAGATGAATAAGGAGGTATTGATATCCTATGACTTATTCCTGCAAATGCAGGGGAATAAGCTATTAAATTACCCCAGTAAAATCCTGCCCGCAGTAGGTGCTGAATCAGTGTAAATGAGAATTAAAAAAGTTATTTCCCTCCCCAAAATAGCTGCATAGGCAGCACGCAGACCGGGGCCAAAAGTTTATTATTAACGTCGTTCACCCCGTGCATGCTGGCAGAGTTAAAAAAAGGTGTTTGCCTTATAAATCTTTGCTGCCCTTTACCACACAGCTGGAGGATCCCAGCGAGGGACGCGGTTCTGTGTGGAGCCCAAGAGATCAAAGTCCTATTAAAAGAAGCTCGTATCATTTCCTCCCCCGGGAGAGAAGTTAATTTACGGAGGAAGCTCTTTGCATGGGAATTTGGCCGCTTCCTTGGACACGGCTTCTTCTGGGGTGGATTTTCTCCCAGGGGAGGACAGGGAGCCCATGCGATCTTCTGATGACCCATCATCCAGGGGCCTTTGGTGTCACCTTCTTGGAGGTAGGTTCTCCACGCGGCTTGCTGGGCCTTCCTCCTTCTCCTCCTCCTCCTCCTCCTCCTCCTCCTCCTCCTGGGGACTGCAGTGCTATTCCCAGGCACTTCCTGGACGACGTTGTCCCGTGGGTGGGGAAGGCCGTGGAGCGATGAGAGATGCCAACACTAAAATAACCCTTTGGCCGGGACGTTGTGCTCCTGCATCCATGTTCAATCCCTGAGGC